TTTACATATCATACACTTATAATTTCAGTTATCATTGTTCTAATTATACATATAATGACATATTAACTTAAATTAAACTATTAATTAACTTAAAAATTGAATTCCACCTATGATCCGATAATCATATCTGATAGTTATGACACCTCACCTAGGTGGTGGGTACCCTGCTGCTATAGCTGGTCGTTATGCAAGTGGCAAACCACGATGTTGATACCGGCTAACAAAATGCCCACTTGCAAAAGTTACTGTCTTTTCTTTTTATTAAAAATGTAACTTAATGTTAATCTTGGTTTAAGACGTATACATGGTATAGCAAGAGGATCTGAGCGGCTGGCATAACAAATGACGTTAGAGTAGTGGAAATTTAGAAAATTAATCTACGGTGAATAGGAAAATATTATTGTGCAATATATTATTAAAAATATACATCTTTTAAATTGTATTTTAGTATTGTATGTACTGAGAATTTTGTGTAATGCAACTGAATATTGACAAAGTGAGTGCTGAATTACTAAAAATAATAGCAAATAGAAAATTTTACTTTCTTGAATTATTTCAATCAAATTCTCTATAACAACAGTATAACTCAAGAAAAAAAATAGGTTCAAAAATGATGAACGAATCAAATTTTTAATTTTTAGAGGTGTAAATTATTATATCTACTGATTAAAATTTAATATTACTGATGCTATAAAAAACGCTAGTTCTAACAAAAATTATTTGCTCTTGATACAACTACAAAAAAATTAGTGTACTGCTCTAAAGCCAGTAAAATTAGTGTTCTACTTCCAACCTTTGAAAAAAACTACAGTTTGTATATTGTGTTATGTCTGAAAAAAAATGCTAATATTCAGTTATCCTTGTTTGGCGAGTTACTTCTTAAAAGACTTTATAATTATTTTTTTAATGAACAATTATATTACATTCTGTAGCTTCTTAATATTTAGGTTGTATAGCTTTAAGATTTGTTATTTACAAGTTTGATTTATTACATCAGATGCATGTTTTACAGTTAAATTTGTACGTAACTAATAAAAATAACAAAAATATATTTTTCTTTTTAAATATTTGTATAAATCTACATTAAATTTTAAGATTTTCTTAATATAAAAAGATAACTGCATTGTTTTATTACCAAACCCTATTTAATATTCTATTAAAAATTTTGCAAAATGAACTGTGTAATTTATTTTGGTGTGTTATTATGTGTTAAATCTTCTTTCGTGATACTAAGTTCGGTAATTAAAATGAAAATTCATTATTTATAGTAAATTCTAAAAATTTAATTAAAAAATTATCTGTTTACTAGAGTCACTGCAATAAACAAATTGATAAATATCAACGTGACCAAAATAATCCAATTGAAAGGCTAACAAAAGAACAAAGAGTTGAAAAAGTAACGTTTTAACATATAAAAAAAAATGTTCACTTGTGGTTACTATTATTTAAAATTAAAAATATATTGAAAAAGTAACAAAAGTTATTAAAAAATTTCGGTAACCATTAGCTAGTACAATCACTAGCAAGTTGCTCTCTTTTCTTTATTCCGTTTTTGTATTTGGAATAATTTTGATATTACGATTTCGTTAAATCCATTAAATCAGTTTCTCTTATAATCCACAGTTCTTTATCAAATTCTATTTTACTCATCAAAATATAAAATTATCTGTAAATCTACTATTAAAGCTGACATTGTGGATTGTTAGCTATGGTTCGAATTGTTTGGAATGTTTATATGTTTTTCTGTTAAATTTCAAAATTTAGTTCTCTCTACTTTTCCAATAAATTAATTCTAAAAACACAATTTTCCCTCTACTCCCTGTTCGTACGTGAATTTAATGGATAGGTAAAATTAATTTAAATATTGTATAAAGTCCTCCGTAATAATTATAATCTTTCTTTATTACAGAAACAATATCATCAACATACCTAGCTCCACTTTTCGGAAAATCACCATAAGTGTTTTTTAAATTTATTACGAACCTACTCATGAAAAGTCTTTAATGAAAAACTTCAATTTTTCTTCAAATATTAATTTTAGGTAATAACACATTGGAAAATTTTTCGGTATAAATTTCGTTTTAAGACCCAACTTAATATTTTTTTAATACTAACTAGGTATTTCTGTTTCTTCATCCAAAAACACAACGTTGGTGTAATTCTTAACTAAGTTTTCTCCTCATTTTTTAGAAAATAAAATTAATAGACTAATATTAAAATTATTTATTGTCCTCTTATTTTTGTATTCTGAAAGCAAATTTTGAAATTTTTTCTTTTTTTTGGTTCAAATTTATGTTTATTCATCTGGTACATCATCTGTTCCAATATTTCCCATTATTATTTGCCAAAAAATTTTAAATTATTATTTTTAATTTTAAATTACATTTTAACACTTATGGATTTACATACTTTATTAATAAACTACTGTGTGTGTCTAACATTTAAAATTGATTAAATATATAAATCAGTTAAAATTAAATAAAAAATTATTTAACGAAAGAAACATGTGAAACTATTATCAATATTTGTATGGTAAGTTGCAATAAAAATATTATATTTTACCAGGCTAAAGAAGCAGCAATAATTTTTGGAAATCAGAGTTTAAGTATTGAAAAACTCAGTGAAGTTGAGGTAATTTTTTATTTACCTAAATNTGTTGAAAAAATCAGTGAAGTTGTGGTAATTTTTTATTTACCTAAATTTAATTATATAATTAACTTATTTAATTGCTAAGATAGAATAAAAAATGGCTTTCAGCATGAAAATAAAAAAATCGTCATTTCTATGCTTAAAGTTATCAAATTATTTAAACATATTTTTTATGAATAAAATGAAAAACCAACATATTTTATAAATTAATAAATTTATTGATATGATGGATAATGTATAATATATTAAGAATTTCTTCTTATAACAAATTATTTTTAGTATTTCATTTTTTAAAGAACTTTTTAGGTTAGATAGAATAAATTTTAATGCTGAGAAGCTTCTTTCTACCAACACAGTGGAGACGTGGCATAGTTTGGTCCTGTATAGATGATAACTGACAGTGAATAAAATAACAATCATAAAAAAACGCTTTGATGCAAATCTGTAGATAATATTTAACTTTAAAATATTTATGAATTATTCCAAAAACAAAATCAACTTCTATTTCCTTATTTATATTCTGATTACAAGTTTTATGATTTATAAGTGTAATATTTATATTGCTGTTGCATAAACCAAATTTTATTAATCAAGTTATGATTGGTAAATTAACTATAAAAATGTACGACACACTAAATGAGTGATAACAATAACAGATTCAAATTGGGTTTTCGATGAATTATTAATAGCGAAGTCTATAGTGTGTAAGACTGACAAATAAAAATAATGACTTCTGTATTTAATACAGTAAAATAACAATAGAAACTTGGCCTAAAATCACTGAACTTTAACAAGCTGTAACGGACGTACAGTTAATTGGGGAAAAAAATTGTACAAACTAAGTTGCTTGTAATTATTTTTTTGTATCATATTATAAAATAAAAAATGAGGGTCCCCATTTAAGAAAATTATAAATAAGGGTTTTTATCCCTGAAGGGACGAAAAAAATAACGATTGGACAACATATTAATATAGAGATTGTAGAACTTGATATTTTTCTTTTTAAAAAAATTTAAAATTCTCAATAGTTTCTGAGAAAATGAGTGTCTTATCAGATTTCGATCACTCTGTATATATTAATAATATATCGATATAAATAGTATTTATCACAAAAAAATTATAAATATCCATACATTTTTCAATAAATTATAACATTTTAAAGTTAAAATATAAAAAGAATTTTTCAAAAATCATATTTTTTAAAATTTATTTTTCCATAATAAATTATATTACATAAACTTTAATTTTTTTTATATNACATTTTTTTAAATTTATTTTTCCATAATAAATTATATTACATAAACTTTAATTTTTTTTATATAAAAAAGTGTCAGAGTTTTCGGAACACTTTAAAAAGTTAAGTTAAAAAATTTAATCTTTTGTGAAAAAATTGTCATTTGAATCCCCTCCTGTGGGCATGTAGAGGGTCAGATTTATAAAAGAAATATACAAAATTATAAGTAATTATCTCATGTATCATTAAAAAAAATTATATTGATTTGGTCATTTTGGAAAAGTTATAGCAGTTTTAAGTAAAAAAATTTCGAAAATTAGCGATTTTTAAATTTGTAATATTTTTGGAGACTTCCCCTATTTACGGGGAACGAGGGAAATTTTTTCATTTTTAGAAGGTTGTCTTTGACTAGATACGAATTGTGATCTTTTGATGTATTGTTGAAAGAAATTGGTTCGGTGAGAGCTGAGAAAATGTGGTAACAAACACAAAAATACAAAAAAATAGTAAAATTAATACATTCTCAGCTTCGCATCAATGCTAAAAGTGAAAGAAAGTGTTACTGTAATTTGTTAATATGTTAAATAATTAATTAATATCATGTCTAAATAATCAATAACATGACAATTCAAAAATAAAGTTACTTGTGCAATTGTTGCGGTCGGTATCCTGCCGCACTCGCGGGGTGTTGTAATATTAGAAAAGAAAAACACAACACGTTAATGGTTCTAGTGAACGTGAAATATTTTTTATTGGCGTTGACAACACAGTATATATATATATACNATATTTTTTATTGGCGTTGACAACACAGTATATATATATATACGTTATATTCGGTAACAGAAAGTAACAAAACAATAATGACAAAATCAATGTAAATCTTACAAAAGCACAATGACCGTAATTGTATGTTCGGCGTTGTTGAGTAGACGACTCACGATCCGATCAGTCAGGCGTCACGGAGATTACTTAACGTATATTTGCGGCGGGTCGTAGATGGACGTGCGGCACTTGCTGGACTTTGTACCGTGGCGTATCGCACGCGGTGTTAGTCAGTCAAATTACCATATGCACGTAGTAGGGCGGCGGCTGATACAGGTGTCACGGGTCGCGGAGCTCCGTGTGTAGAGAACGACGCGGGACCGTGTCACAATATTATAATTTGTTATTGTCTCTTTATTCAGAAGATGCATATTGTTTTTTTTTTTGTATTTAAATTAATTATTAAAAATATAACACACAAAAAAATACACCTTACGACCATTTTGTAGTTTTTCTCAAAAAATTTTAATAATTTTATTATTTNTTTGTAGTTTTTCTCAAAAAATTTTAATAATTTTATTATTTGTTTGTTGTAACCTTCTGTTCAAAGTTCTCGTGCCCTTTACCGCAACCATTGATTGGGTCCTGACCATCACTAAATAACTTCATTGCCTTAGTCGCTCACCAATATCAACAATTCATTTATTCAGCTGAGTTTATATTATTTTTGAATGTTATTTATTATTTGATTTTATTGAGTTTAAATATTTTGTTTTATACTGTTTCGCCGGCCATTAGTATTTAAAGGACTCCCGTTACCCCTTAAATTTAAGATACTCTTTGAAGTACTCCTAATATAAGTGGGTATTTGTTATTTAATTATTGTCTATTGTCGTTACATTTTTGATGTGAGGTTAGTCGGCATCCTATCAGTTGACTCCTCTTCCGCTTCAATAAAGGTGATTTAAAAAGGGATAAGGTAAGACAGCATTCTAGTGCGGTGCACAACAAGCCGTCCTACGTTCTAGATGCCTTGTGCGAAACACCACTGTTCGATTATTCTAATATCAAAAACTAAAATACATAAATTATATCACATACAATAAAATAATTTATATAAAGTGCTTTTTACTTCTTTTTTTTAAATTTAATTATTAGAAAGTTGAGGAAACCGAATTTGAAAATGTATTTGAACTTTTACCCAAACATTATTCATCATCGCTTGTGGTTAGCGTTGGAACAATTATAGAAAGATTCCAGGAAATTAAAGATAAAAACAAAAACGTTAGCAAAAACGTAAAAAAAATTATTAAAAAATTGGAAACATTCGATGGTAAGGAAGTTTACTTAAATATTTTTATTAAGTTCTACGATATACACGTATTCTCGCATTTTATGCTATTGATTTATTTTCACACCAGGTAACAAATATTTTTATAAGATTAATGTATTATAAAAACATTTGTATAATATTATTTTTTAAAAAATGTTTTCGGGACTTAAAAGTGTTCAATTATTTATTTATTTTACTCAACACTTATAAAATAGCATTTCATAATGTGCTAGTTTATTTTATATGATAATATAATAGCAAAATAAACTCCTAGTGTTATACATACAGTTCACTTTTCTCATTTTACTCTATTTTATCATTTGTTAAACCACATTTGAGGTCCATTGCCGCTTTACTCAAACATTTTTAAAAGTTCGTTATGCTGCACGTGCACTCGTTATTGTTGTACATAATATCATTATTATTGACAATATATGGTTACAGCTAGTTCAAAACTATTATTTTCTCTCCAAAACTGAAAATCTAAAACATAAATGCTATAAAATTATGTAGTAATACCATGCACTTTTTAAGTTCTCTTGAAAAATAAATAAAATGTAGACACATGGTATTGCGGATTAACGAATGAGATGATACTTCATTCCCTGATAGATAAGTGTAATATGTTTTTTAAAAATTGTTGTCATTTTTTAAACAATAATGTGCCAGAAACATCAACAAAAGTTTCAAAATCAGGACTCATGTCCTATTAAGTTTCTCCCTACACACATCTATGAATACAAGGAAACAATCTCTCCTAATACTAAAAAGAATTTATACATACCATATATGTACTACACTACACAATCCTCCGAATCCTAAAATGTAAATGTCAAAATATTTATTTCAACATAACCAAGATCCCAGTAACGCTTCGCATAACTTCTCATTAATTTAATCACTAATTCAAATTAAAAATATCTTTTACTTATAAAAGTTATTATTATTACTTATTATATATTATATAAGTTATTATTTATAAAATAAATAAACGTTTTCTAAATGATTTTAGGTGTAAATTTCAATTAGGATAATATTATATAATCGCATTTTGAAATTATTCCAAATTTTCTAAAACATTTTAGTTTAAAAATTAGTTTTACTAAAATATTTAAAATTTGTTTCATTATGTTAACAGGAAAAAAGTTTTCTCTGCTTAATTATTTTAAAAATAAGAATTAAATTATGTATTTGTATTTTCTAGAAAATGAATTTTTAGACCTAAGAATTTGTAAACAAATAATGAATAACCAATATTATCCAGTACCACATAATTGGGTTTTAAAATGTCATAAGCTCAATTCTGGATTTAAAAAATATGATCCAGATAACACCGGAAGAATCGCTTTTGGTGATTTTAAGTGTGTCATCGAAAAAGTTCTTGTTAATGATTTAGTAAAAACAAATATATTAAATAGATTTTCTGGCGTAAAAGACGTTTGTTATGAAGGTACATATCGATTTTTACTTAAAAATTTTCATTACATGATTTAACTAACATAATTTATTTAATATTAGCATGGTTATTGAAAATAAGAAAAAACTTGTATGAAAGTCAATTTGGTGTGCAATGTTTAGCAATGAAATGTCTTACTGGCATTGCATAGTAAAAAACAGTATTTTTAATTTATATAAAAAGTGTCTGTTTTTTAAAATAAATCATATTATTACCAAAACATTTTTACATTTCTTAATAAAATATATAACAAAATAAAAAAAAAACAAAAATGATCTATTATGTGCATAGCATTATAAATTATTTAGGTAACTTGATTGAATACTTAAATTATATTTTAATAAATTGTTGGAATTATCAAAAATAGGTAAAGAATATAAAATATATTTCTTATTAAAATTAAATAATAAGAATTTAAATTCAATTTAATTTTAAATGTTTCACTCATTTTAAAAATTTCGATCACTGTATATTTTCTCAAAGTTATCCGTATAAATTTGATTTATATAAAAAATATTTTAATCCCAGGGCAATAAAAAATTAATTTCACATCTGACTATAATAATTAAAATAATATTATTGCTTAGGCAATACTACTTTTACGGGTGTGCATTTTGCGACATCATAAAAAAAAAATCGAAAAATAATAACAATAAATAATCATAAGAAATATTTTAATCCCAGGGCAGTAAAAACCTAAACAAATATTTGAATATAATAATAATAATAATAAGTAAAAATCTATTATACTCAATGATATTAATATGTATAGTATCTTAGTAAATAAAACAATTAATGTAAGGGTATGAGAAGGTNTGATAATTACATGTATCTTGGTAAATAAAACAATTAATGTAAGGGTATGAAAAGGTTGAATATTAGGGTGGTTCTTATTTTATAAACTTTTATTGTTCAATCTCCTTACCTTCCAATTTTTTTCGTTATTATACGAGTCATTTGGGTAAAATTTAGTTTTGATAAGTTATACTCTTCAAGTGATGAATCGAAGTTAAAAATTCTCTCAAAAAAAGTAATTTTTCAGATTTTGATAATTATTTCTAAAAGTAACACACTTAGCGTAAAAATGAATAGAATATAAATTATAGATTTTTTTCAAAAAAAGCATTAACAAAAGTTTCATAAAATTCACTTTTTGAACATAAATTATTCTTAATATTTGAAATAATCACTTAACAACAAAATATTTTAAATAAAAATATAATGTAAAATTTAATTTTCTAAAATATTAGACTTATATAATATTATAGTCAGATTAAGGGTTTTGCTGTTTTAATAATATTAATAATCTAAATACGATTGATTAAAACTTTTTATTCAGTGTACTACGATTATAATTAGGGTACATCCTCCAATTGTTTTGTACGGTCTGCAAAAAATAAATAATAATTATCATATATTTTAGTCAATAAACTTTTGAAAAATTATAAATATTTTCATTTTTACTTGTGGTTTTTGTTCTTCATCTTTTGTTAATATGCTGTTGTAGTCCTCCATTAGTTTTACATGACGCTCAGCCGTATTGCAACTACTACTATTTCTGCAATTATTTTTTTACCTTTTTAGAAGTCTTCGTTTTCTTTCTAAAATGTTGATCTATTTTTAAGAAATCTGTCTATTTATTTCATTTATTTTCACAATTATAACATAATTATTATGGTATGCGTATTATATATTTTATAAAAACCGAAAAATAATAACAATAAATACTATGATGATCAATACAATAACCATGTACGAACAGTTTGTATGTTAACGGAATGCTCAATACTAAACTGATTATTGATATTTTATCAAATTAATAAGATTATAGGTAATTAGTATTAGTCTGGCTACAGAAACCAAAGGTTTGTACTGCGATCTAGAAATGGCGGCATAAGCAACTCGCAAAGGACGGAGTGTCGCCTTGGGGGAGATACCTTTT